CAATCTCTTCTTCTTCTTCTCTTCAAGGTCTCATTAATGTCAGATCTGAACTTCATAACAATTGAGTTCGACACCCCTGATGTAGACTCTTATCGGGTTCTTTATCTGTTCTTCTGTCGATTGGATCTTGATCCGAAGAGCAGTCAGAACGGAGGGAGGACCAAGATTTAACTGCAGAAATCTGCCCTAGCAGGATTTCATGGGAAAATCTCATATAAAGTAGTGTGTACCCCGTATTCTGCTGATTTGTTTTGGTCCCTTTGCGCTGACACGTTTCTCGCTGTCAACAGGATCGAAAAAGCGGCAGTGCAAAGTCATGTTTGAGTACACGCCTCAGAACGAGGACGAGTTGGAGCTGAAACTGGGAGATGTTATAGACATTAACGAAGAGGTAAGCTGTTTTGCACGCGTGCGTAGTGTCTACAATGAAAATCTTTATCATGACAAAAAAAAAGTACAATTTTTTTCCCTATGAGGAAAGGTTAAAGCGCTTGGGGTTCTTTAGCTTGGAGAAACGACGACTGAGGGGTGACATGATCGAGGTTTATAAGATTATGCATGGGAAAGAGCAGGTAGAGAAAGAGGTACTTTTCTCCCTTTCTCACAATACAAGAACTCGTGGGCACTCCATGAAACTGCAGAGCGGTCGGGTTAGAACGGATAAAAGGAAGTACTTCTTCACCCAAAGAGTGATTAACACATGGAATTCACTGCCACAGGAAGTGGTGGCAGCTACAAGCATGGACGGCTTCAAAAGGGAATTAGATAAGCATATGGAGCAGAGGTCCATCAGTGGCTATTAGCCACAAGGTATAGCTAGGGGCTCTGGGGCAAGTGATGCTCTGTCATCTTGGTGCTTGGGGGGGGGGGGTCAACAGTGGGAGGGCTTCTAATGTCCTGGCCCCACTGCTGGACCTCCTGATGGCACTGGTATTTCTGGCCACTGTGTGACACAGAGTGTTGGACTGGATGGGCCTTTGGCCTGATCCAACATTGGCGTCTCTTATGTTCTTATGTTCTTAACTTAATGAGCAGTGCACCTGCACTGTAGGAGTTGAGATGCAGCCAAGTAACATCCTGTGTTGAATATGGGATTGATGACTGACCAGACCAAGAAAACTGAACTGAGCATGTCTAAATTAATAATAATAATAATAATAATAATAATACTTCGTTTTATCCTCACGACCACCCTGTGAGGTGGGCTAGCCTGAGAGACAGTGCCTGGCCCAAGGCCACCCAGTGACCCTCCATGGCAAAGTGGGGATTCGAACCCGGGTCTTTCAGGTCCTCGTGCAGCAGTCTTAACCAGTACATCACCCCGGCCCTGAAGCTCATTTGCACTATTTGGGTTTCGTTGTGCTTCCTTCGGGCATGCCTGGATCTCCATCTGCCTCAGCTTCCCTTCACCAGGCTTCTAAGTCCTACCCTGTCCCTGTCCTTTACCTGGCAGAAGCTCTCTCTGGAGGCCTTTTTGTGAGGCTCGCTTCCCTGGCACCTTGAATGCTGCCCTGGCAGTCCGTGCCTTCAGTGCCAGAGCCAGTCTGGTGTGGGTGGTTAAGAGCAGCGGACGCTAATCTGGAGACCCGGGTTCGATTCCCCACTCCTCCTCCACATGGAACCAGCTGGGTGACCTTGGGCCCCTCACAGTTCTCTCAGAGCTGTTCTCTGAGAGTGTTCTCTCACAGGGTGTCTGTTGTGGGGAGAGGAAGGGAAGGCGATTGTAAGCCACTCTTGAGACTCCCAAGTGAAGGGCGGGGTACAAATCCTCCTCCTCCTGGGAATGTCATTTTCCAAGGTGCCCTAGTATAGGGGCCTCTGCGGACGGACATGTTCCAGGACGTTCCAGAAGGTTCTTCCCCTGGCCCCCTGGGTCTCTGCTAATAGGAGCAGGGAGGCTTCCCTGCTTCCATCACCCACAAGACCAGGAAGTGGGAAGGGTGGCTTGGATGACGATGATGCAGGCCACAGAACCTCTCAGGGCCGCAGCACTTGCCGTGGACTGGAGGCGGGCACTTTGAGCCGCCAAAGTTTGCAGACCAAACCTGCTAATTACAGAACTGCGGTGGCGCCATTAATTTTTGTTTTGCATGTCCAAAGGACGCAATAAATTCTTGTCGCTCTGACAGCATTCCATGTCTGTGCTCGTGTTTGTGTGCGGCTTTCCCTGTCAACATGATAAATTGTCTAAGGTGGCCGAACTCCCCCTTTGTGGCCACTGTTTTTCATTGATACGGACGTTTGAAAGATTAGCTGGATGGAATATCCTGAAAGAGGATATCCGCTGCTGAAGAGGTCCATTCTAATAAAGAGGCCGAGCTGGGCAGCGTAGTTTGAACGCGAGCAGTCGTGCGGATGACGCGAAACAATGAGGAAGCTGTATTAAAAGGCGAGGGAAACGACCGAGAGGTCTTAGCTGAGCGGTTTATTCAGGCTTTTAGAATTTGTAGCCTCTTTCATCAAACGGGTGGAATTGACTGAGAAGGCAATGGGGGGATGTATTTCTGTCCGCATACATAGCTGGAGGGGTAAGATGCTAACCAAGAAAAAAACAGAACAACTAAAAAGCACGCGCTGTATTGTCAAGTGTACCCAATAGTTATGCAGCCCGGATGCTATGAACGTATGACGCTGCCTTGTACTGGATCACACCCAGGGCTATTTTTGGGCAGGAACGCACAGGAACGGAGTTCCGGCTGGCTCCCAAGTTGGCCACACCCAGCAGGAACTCATTAGCATAACAGGCCACACCCAACAGCAGAAACTCATTCGGATTGGCTACATTAGGGGTGTGTGGCCTAACATGCAAAGGAGTTCCTGCTACAAAAAGAGCCCTGGACAACCAACAAGGTAAGCAGAATAAGAAGCAAAAGGTGGGTGTGGCTGGATGAGCACACTTCTGGTGACATGGGAATGCGGCCTAATATGCTAATGAGTGGTGCAGTCAGGGGTGTGGCCTAATATGCTAATGGGTTTCTGCTGCTGGGTGTGGCCTATTATGCTAATGAGTTCCTGCTGGGCTTTTTCTGCAAAAAAAGCCCTGATCACACCCTTGGTCTACCAAGGTCAGTACTCTCTACTCAGACAGGCAACAGCTCTCCAGGGTCTCGGGCAGAGGTCTTTCACATTACCTACCGCCTGATCCTTTTCACTGGAGATGCCAGGGATTGAATGTGGGCAGACACTCCCCCACTGGGCCACGGCCTGGCCCCTCCCCTCCCCTCCTCTCTTTGCCCTGAGAAATGGTTGTATTGGTTAACAGATCTATCTTATAAAGTTCTGTCGTATATTTGGGCTGTGATATTCAATCGGAATTGAGCTGCGGTGGCTCAAGTGGCTAAGACGCTGAACTGCAGGCTGTGGAAGGTCAATAGTTCAGCAGTTCGAGACCCAGGTGCCGCATGACGGAGTGAGCTCCCGTCTCTAGTTCCAGCTCCTGCCAACCGAGCAGTTCGAAAGCAAGAAATTGCAAGTAGATAAATAGGGACCACTTCGGTGGGAAGGTAACAGCGTTCCGTGCGCCTTGGTGTTTAGTCATGCCGGCCACATGACCACGGAAATGTCTTCGGACAGCGCTGGCTCTTCGGCTTTGAAACGGAGATGAGCACCGCAACCCTAGAGTCGGATTCCACTGGCTTTCGAGCAAGGGAACCTTTACCTTTTTATTCAATCGGAGGGTGGCCACCCTGTGGTCTGAAATAGGACCCTAAGGTCTGAAATATGGAGCAGAGGTCCATCAGTGGCTATTAGCCACAAGGTAGGAACTCTCGGTCTGGGGCAAGTGATGCTCTGTATTCTTGGTACTTGCGGGGGGTGATGGCAACAGTGGGAGGGCTTCTAGTGTCCTTATCCGCTGGTGGACCTCCTGATGGCCCCTGGTATTTTTGGCCTCTGTGTGACACAGAGTGTTGGACTGGATGGTCCATTGGCCTGATTCAGCGTCGGCCTCTCTCTCATGTTCGTAGGATCCACATGGCTGGAACGCTCATCAGCCTGCTCTTGCATCTTCCCATATTTCATGTCAAATTTTTTAAGGAACGCCTGTCTTGTTTGACTGACTGAAACAATGAAATGCCAGCGCTGGCAGGTCAGGGCAGAACACGGTAGAAATGGAAGGAATGACTTGGTAGCTGTTAGGGTTGATGTTCCCAGGGCAAGTGCAGGGGCAACGCTGGGACTGGGGGCTCCCAGCAGGAGTCGGTCCCGTGATCGAGCTTCTGTTGTGTGATCCGCTGCTGTTGACATTTATGTCTTGAGATTTATGTATTTATTGGTTTAATTTGTACCCCGCCCTCCCCGCAAGCAGGCTCAGGGCGGCTCGCATCAATCAATACACAAGTTAATACATAAATACAATTAAAATCTACATAAAATCATCTAAAACAAGTCAAGTTGTAGGTTACAAAGTGCTGGTAACGATCACTTAATTATTTATGATGACGTACTTTAAAAAAATATGCCCAGAGATCTAACAATCCTTCTGCTCATGATCTTTCTGAAATAAGGGCGGCGTAGGCTAGATGTCGAAACCAAGGGCCAGGACTCCAAGGATAAGTTTCTTTTCCTAAGGCCGGCTGTTGGGTTTTTTCCTAAGGCCGGCTGTTGTTTTTTTTCTTTTTGAGAGAAAGAAATCCAGCAAGATGAGGAGGTGTAACAGCTGGCTAAAATTTAGGGCTAAACCCATATCTGAGTATCCCCTGCTGTCATTCTGCCCAGCACAATGCAGTCAGCGTAAATTAATGGACCGAGGCTGTAGTGTGTTGCAGATCCAGTGGGAGGTGATGTGAAAGACCCTTCTCTGCCTGACACCCTGGAGAGCCACTGCCAGTCTGAATAGACCAGACTGGCCTTGACGGACCAGCAGTCTAATTCGGTATAAGAACATAAGAGAACACAAGAGAAGCCATGTTGGATCAGGCCAGTGGCCCATCCAGTCCAACACTGTGTCGCGCAGTGGCCCAAACCCCAAGTACCATCAGGAGATATAAGGCAGCTCTATGACTTCATGTGTTCTCTGCAAACTCCACCTAGCATGGCACTCGGGTATGTTTTCTCCTCAGGTGGATGCGTCACTATCATGCATAAGCCTGTCCAGCACAGAGGGCTTCAGGTTATCCAGGAAGCAGCTGCTAGGCTTTTGACTAGTGCTTCGTGATCTGCATACATACAGCCAATACTGAGGCAACTGCACTGGCTACCAGTTGGTTTCTAGATCAAATTCTAGGTGTTCTTCTTAACCTTTAAAGCCCTAAGTCAGGGGTGTTAAACATACGGCCCATCCAGGGCTCTTATCCATTCCATGAGCAACTGGTCATTACAGAGCCTATGCATTATGTCCCTGTATCCTGTCCCAGTGCTAATGAGCAGGGGTCATTTCCTGCAGGAGCGCACAGGAGCGGAGCTCTGGCAGTAAAGAGCCCAGGGGGCGGGCACATGCAACAAGCCCCACCCCCTGCTCCCAGCAGCCCTCAGTCAGAGCAAGAAGCAGCCAGACCCCTGCTAATGAGTAATGGGCAGTGGAAGTGGGAGGGTGGGCACCAGGGAGATGCGTTGAGGAAATACTGTAAGAATGTTAATGTCTAAAGTATGTTTTTATTTTGAGTAAAAAAAAAAATGCCTGTATCCTTTATAAAGTTTATATCTCCCATACCTGGCATTACATTTTATGGCACATGTGGCCCAGCCTGACAAAGTGTCAGAGCCGGCCCTCGTAATATGCAGAGCTCGACCCCCTCTGCTAAATGGTCTGAGGACGTCTGTTCACTTCCGCAGGGCTTGCAAGGTGGAAGGGCTCTTCCAACACGTTTTGAATAAGTCGTCACATGTTGCTTGTGATTTTTGTATTGTTTCCACACTGGCTCGTTTTACTCTTGTTGCTGGATGGAGACATGTGCAACAGGAGATTTATATGGCTGGCTTTATTTATTTATTTACCCTGCCCTCCCCCAGCCAAAGCCAGCTCAGGGCAGCTTATAAAAACAGATAAATTATATTAAAAGCATAAGTTACAATTAAAAATAATCCTAAAGCCATGATAAAGTGCTAGTGATCATTGTTATCCATAAACGGTATATGTTATCACTGCTTTTTATTATTATTAATTGCTTTTAAGAATGTTCATTGAACTCTTGTTTTACTTTAATGTAAGCCATCTCGAGCCTTGCTTGTTGAGGGAGTTGTTGTTCAGTCGCACAGTTGAGTCCGACTTTTCGCGAGCCCATGGACAAGATCCCACCAGGCCCTCCTGTCTTCCGCCGTCCTCTGAAGTTTGCTCAGCTTCATGTTCGTTGCATCTATGACACTGTCTAACCACCTCATCCTTTGCCGTCCCCGTCTTCTTTGACCTTCAATCTTTGCCAGCATCAGGGTCTTCTCCAGTGAGGGCTCCCTTCTCATTTGGTTTAGGATTGACTGATTTGATCTCCTTGCAGTCCAAGGGACTCTCAAGAGTCTTCTCCAGCACCATAGTTCAAAAGAATCTATTATTCGGCACTCAGCCTTCCTTATGGTCCAACTCTCGCAGCCATACAAGACCAAGCGTGATCCCCTGGAGAAGGAAATGGCAACCCACTCCAGTATTTTTGCCAAGAAAACCCCATGGACAGTATCAAAAGGCTAAAAGATATGACACCGGAAGATGAGCCCCTCAGGTCGGAAGGTGTCCAATATGCTCCTGGGGAAGAGCAGAGGGCAAGTAATTTTGTTGTTGTTGAGGGAGTGGTGGGGTTTAAATTTGATAAAATAAAATAAATAAAGGGGACGCTCCTCATTGGGCAGAAATAGGGAGGGGCTTTTCTCAATTCCCACTTGAGCGTTGTGCAGTCGTGTTTAGCATTCCTCTGAATCTTTTCCTTGCAGCGTACCATGTTTCTAGATGGAGATGGCTTATTGCCAAAGCTGTGAGAGCTTTGCTCCAAATTGCGGTGTTGGTAATGCGAGATCCTCCTCTCTCCGTAGGTGGAAGAAGGCTGGTGGAGCGGAACGCTGAACGGAAAAGTAGGCCTGTTTCCTTCCAACTTTGTGAAAGAGCTCGAAGTATCAGACGAGGGCGACTCCCAAGAAGCCTGCTCGGATGATGCTGGTATTGTGTGCTGTGGTCATAAGCTATCACCCGTGGGTAGAATAGTGAAAGGGAGTTGCGTTTGAATATTAGCAAGCAGTCAACCAGTATAACAGTGCGTAGCCTTAAGCACACGTGTGGGCTGGTTAAGGGTTCACTGGTTGAGAGCCAAGCAGGTATGTAAATATCTGAAGGATTCTGAACTAATTTGTCATTCTTGATCGCCAGAAGCAAACTTCCTGATCTCACTCGCTTGCCATGACTTGCCGGATGCTGCCAGAAAGTTATATACATACGTGCTGTCAAGTTGGGGAGGGGCTGTGGCCGGGCCCACAGCCAAGATTTTTGGGGCTCGAGGATGCGCTGAAAGAACAGCCAACCGAGAGAGACTCCTTTGACCACGAGATGACAGTGGACAGCCAAGAGCAGGAAGTGAGAATGCACAAGGTAAGGAAGGTGGCAAGGTGGGGGAGGGGCTGTGGCTAGGGTTGCCAAGTGTTACCTTCCTCTGCAGCGGGGGACTCCCGGGCCGATCACGGAGCGCGCCACTTCCTGGTGACGTGCACGTTGGGGCGGAGTTCCCCCCGGGGCCCGATCCGACAGCGGAGGGGAATGGGCCTCTGTGGCTCAGTGGTAGAGCATCTGCTTGGCATGCAGAACTTCCCAGGTTCAATCCCTCCAATCTCCAGTTGAAAGGACCAGGCCGTGGGTGATGCAAAAGATCTCTCTTTACCTGAGACCCTGGAGGGCCGCTGCCAGTCTGAGTAGACAGGACTGACCTTGACGGATGCAGTATAAGGAAGCTTCATGTGCATTCACGATTGATTTCTGGTGACCCCGGCAAGGGGCTTTCAAGGCAAGTGGGAAGCAGAGGTGGTTCGCCATTGCTTTCCTCTGCAGAGTCTTCCTAGGTGGTCTCCCCTCCAAGTACCCAGCTCGCTTAGCTTCGAAGATCTGATGAGATCAAGCTGTACCATGCCGCCTTCCCTCCCTTGCTTGAAAGTCAGAGAAATGTGGGGTTTTTCTGTATTTTTAAAAAATTTCATATGTGTGTAAGTGCATGGAAGTGTGTGTGCACCTGGAAATCATGGCGACTAAAGCCTGTTACCACCTCTGGTATTTCAGGGAGGTCTCCCATCCACGCACTTGCCAGAGTCGACCCTGCTTAGCTTCCACGATCTGACAAGATCGGGCTTGCTTGGGCTGTCCAGGTCAGGGCCCCACTTCCTCACTTGAACCTAGCTGGGTAACCTCAGGCAAGTCACAGAATCTCTCATCCTAAAAATAAGCATAGCTTGCCACCTAGTGTTGCCAAAAAAGATCTACAGCTTCGGCCGCCAAAAATCCCTTCTGGAATCTCCTGGTTATTCCACACACAGTGGCCATTTCATGTGATTTTCAAGGCAAGAGACAGTCAGAGGCGGTTTGCCATTACTGCCTCACGACCCTGGTATTCCTCGGAGGTCTCCCATCTAAATAGTAGCCGGGGCCAACCCTGCTTAGCTTCCGAGATCTGACGAGATTGGCCTTGCCTGGGCCATCCAGGTCATGGCGTGAAATTTTATTTTTGACGAACGAGTCTAAAATAATAGGGGACTCTTTCCATTGTTAAGCAAGGCAACGTTCTAAGGAGGAGAACAAAGAGGAGTGCTTTTACATTACCGGCCCTTTGCAAAAAAGGGGCCCGTGTGCAGTGTTGTGGCTTTGGAATTCCATCAGAAGAAAACGAAGGGCCGCGCCAATTGGAGGCAAAGAGTCGAAAACAACAGTGCACGAGGAAGAACATTCTATTCCAATACGTTGATCCCTATGCATTTCACGTTGAGCTTCCTCAGGGGAATCTGTGGGGTATAGAAGCAGCCCTGACCTGGATAATCCAGCTAGCCTGATCTCGTCAGATCTCGGAAGCTAAGCAGGGTCGGCCCTGGCTAGTACTTGGATGGGAGACCTGCAAGGAATACCAGGGCCAGGACGCAGAGGCAGGCCATGGCAAAACCACCACCTCTGAGCGTCTCTTTCCTTGAAACACCCTACAGGGTCCACCATAAGTCTGCTGTGACTGGAATGCTTTCGGAGCTGGTTTAGCGGGAGCATTGCTGCTTTCCTATTCCACAGATCCCCCCCCCCCCCGGGCGGGCCACAGATCCCCCCCCCCCCGAGGAGGTGCAATGCGAAACACACAGGGTTTATCAACATATCGGAATGACATTTTCATCCCACCGCACCCCGTTTTTTCCCTTTGTCCCTTTGAAATCCTTTTGTTCCACTGGGGCTCAGAATTTGGTGAGAAGCGGGGATGGGGGTCGTGTCACGTTTGCACCTGGAGAGTGGGAACCGTATCCTGTCCGAGGTGTGGCGGAAGACCGGCAGCAAATTGTTAATGAGCCTATCCAGGCAGGAGCTTATCTAACTGGAAAGCAAACAACTGATACCGTTCCTGCTCAAACTCCTGATAAGCTGTCGATCGCGCACTCGCTCTCAAAAACTTCCTCGTAGGCGAGAATGTGCCATGGTTTTTCCCCGGGGACATGCTTTGGGCTCGTGTGCTCCCTTGCTCCCTTCCTTCCCATGCGACAGTTCCCCATGTTCCTCGGTTTGCATAGCGGCGCCATGACGTTCAGGCTGTGGTTGTGGCCAGCAGCAGCCCACCTCCCAACCAGAATAATAAATCACGATTTTAAGTGGTTTTTCTTCTGTGGTTTGCAATATCCGTTCACTTGCCCAGTTTGGACATCACAGCGAACTCTGGTTACCACGAAGGAGGAAGCGTGGGAGGCGCATGTGAAAGGAAGAGGGGGACGTGAGCCCAAAGTGGACTGTGACGTCAGAGCTCAGCTGTAGTTAGTGAGGTCTAAGAACAGCCTTCCACAGAGGTATTCATTCTGTTCCCCCCCCCCTTAACAACTTTCCAGAGGCTGTTTTTACTGGCCCCATCTCGCCTGTCACTTCGCCAGGAAATGGGAACGAGCCTGGAAACGCACAGATAGCGCAGCCAAAGAAAATCCGAGGAGTTGGATTCGGAGACATTTTCAAAGAAGGCTCGGTGAAGCTGAAGACCAGATTGCCCAGTAATGATTCGGAAGAGAAGAAGCCAGATAAGGTACTGCGGCTGCCGCGTCTAAAATGGAATCCGTTGCTGTGTTCGTGGCCCTGCTGTATTCGCCAAAGCCCTAGGGACTCCAGAATATAAGATTCAGAATTCCAGTATCTCACTTGCACTTTCCTGTTTGTTCTCGTGTGGTCTTCTGTCACTGAGTGATTCCGCTCCTCTCTTTGGATAAGCCTGATATGTGGCAGTGCACTCTAATAGCAGCTTGTGACCAAAAACAGCGCTCGACGTTATTCCGCATTCATGCGCTGAGCTTGGAGGGATGCGTTCTTAAAGTAACGGTTGCAAATATCTGCACAGAAGGCCAAGTAGCCAGCTGCAGAACACAACCACGGATCACGTAAACCCACGTGTTCATCTTTCAACGAGTTTTTATTTTTGCGATAGTCTCATTGGTGGTGGCTCCCGGGGAGACCTTGCAGTTGGCAGCAGGCGTTTCACCTTGTTCTGTTTCAGAGGGCGGCTCTGTTGGTCTGCAGCAGAACGGCTCGATTGGCATTTGGGAGCGTCTTAGAGACCGAGAAGATTTTCGGGGCACGAAACTTTCAAGAGTCAAAATTTGAGCGTTTTAACCCTTTGGTACCTGACAAAAGGAGCTTTGACCCTAAACTGCTCAGACCCACAAAAATCTTGTCGGTCTCGAAGATGCGACTGGGCTCGTTTCTAGCTCCCCTTGTTCTCTCAGGCCTGGACAGTTTACCAGAGAACTGGGTGAAGGGTTCTTTTTCTTTTCCCATTGTGCAGAATGAAAGCACAGCTGAGTCTCTCTGAAACCAGGATACTTTGTAGTGCTTTGAAAGTCTGGAAAGCTGGCTGTATATATGTATGTTTTTAAAAAGAATAGTAGAAGTGAGCTGGCCAGGCAGGCTAAAGCGGGAGCGACTCAAAATGCAAGAAAGAAGCAGCTCCCAAATTCTTAGCGGACGATTCTCATCTTCCACTTTTATCTCCCAAATCCACACAGCCATTGCCTAGCCATCCACCTGGACCAAAGGCCACCCAGTTTCCTAGTGCAACAAAATCAGAAACTGCGACAGAGGCAGCAAAAGCGGAAGCGGAAACCAAACAAAAAGGTATATATATATATATTTTCCTTTTAACTTTGTCAGCTTCTGTATAAAAACCGTTCCGGTAAAAGATCTTCCACAATTTGTCTTGGAATGCTTAGCAAGCTTGTTAGCATTCTGCATCGTCCTTTTTCTCTCCGGTGCCTTCACAGATGCTTCCCGTGGGGGTTGGTTTCTTTCTGCTCGGGCAATCAGGAAAGAAGCTCCCCCTTCACCAATCCTGGGACGCTTCTTCAATGGCCCACCTTTCCTTCATTCAGTACCACTCTCTTTTTTCTTTCTGGGTATTTGTGTGCGTGCATCTGTGTGTATGTGCTTGCATGTCACGGTATGCCATGGCAACTTCTGGCGACCCCTACTGAGGGCTTGAGCGTTTTTCAGAGAGGTGGCTTGATACTGCCTGCCTCTGCCTCCCAGCCCTGGTATTCCTTAGAGGTTCCATCAAAATACTTGCCAGGGTCGGCCCTGCTTAGCTTCCGAGATCTGACAAGATCGGGCTCGCCTGGGCTATCCAGGTCAGGTCCTTAGTTCTGTACCTCTTGATCTGTCCTTCCCTCCGGTTTGCGCTTGTAACCCTACCAATAATAACTGTATTTAGCACGTATACAGCATTTTCAGTATCCATCATCTTAGTAATTCCAAGAGCTCCTATAGCAGGGGCGGCCAAACTTGCTTAACGTAAGAGCCACATAGAATAAACGTCAGATGTCTGGGAGACACAAGAAATGAACACACACGTTTCAAATGAAAGAACATGCAAATTTGCATATTAAATTAAAGAGACAAATGCCTTCTCCGAGCCAAGCCAGTCTGCCGGAGTGGTGGGGCTTGGAGAACTCATTCAACTTTAGATGGGGAGGGCGGGGAGAACGATAGAAAGAAAGGTGGAAAGAAAACAACTTTAAATGCATCCTCCAAGCCCCCCCCCCCACCCGAAAGCTTGGCTTGGAGA